AGTGGCCCACGCGCACCCCCCCCCCTTTACCCCCCCCCCCCCCAAAAAAACAAAATACAAAATTGAGCCACTTCAGACCCCCCACGACTGTCCTGAGCCGGTGCTGATAAAGGGACCCTTGGCTATCTGTTTACATTGGAGCAATGTAAATTCTCCAAGGTTCATATTTATCTGTGTGCTTAGCAAGTTACTGAACTTTGGACTTCAGCACGGCAGCAGCAGTTCACAAAGTGCAGAGGGAGAGAAAGCAGGGGGAGGGGGAAAGGGAGGGAAGGAGAGGAAAACGGAGGGGTAGAAGGTCTGCCAGCATGGAAAAGAAAAAAATACGGAAAGAAAAGTAGGGAAATGAAAACGGGGGAAAAAACACGGCTCATTTCTGGCCCCATTAGTTTTGGAGAAGGAAGGAGGCGGAGTAGCCAAAAGCAAGGGGTGGGTTTGGCGGTGCCTGTGCAGGAGAAGGTGCTGCTGGTGGGAGGTTGTGGAGCCCACGCAGAGCTCCAGCAGCAGAGAGGTTCAACCAGCCCCTGCCAAGGCGTTGGCCCTGGGAGACGGCTGCGTCGGCAGCCTCGCTCGCCTTTGCCCACCCCCCCGGCCGACCAGTGCAACTGCTGGGTTTACAGGGAAGTTCCCAAGACTCACGGCGTGTTGTGGAGCTCCAGCTGACTTCTACGGCACAGCATTGAGTGTTAAATGACTTTTTCACTTCTGGCTTTGGCTTGCTGGAGTACCTTGATATGCAAATACTGGTACCTCCTTTATAACTTGCTGTATGTATTGTTTAATTGATGAGCGTACCCACATAATTTGGGGGATTACATGACTTGCCCCGTTGAGCTGATGATTCAAGCACACGATAAGGAGCAGCCCTGGGTGTTGGTTCACACCGAAAGTCCCTGCCCTATCTCCGATTGCTCTGCTTCTCTGGAGAAGTGCCCTGGACAGGCTGGTGGTTCCCGTTTAGCATCTACCTCCATCCCCTCTTGATGCCGGCTGTGCTTTCTGGTTCTACCCCCCACCTTTTGGGTGACTTTCTAAAACACCCTAGCCAGCTTGGCTGGCGTTGCTTGGAGTTGTCGGGAGGCCGCGATGACTGGTGGTCTTTTCTCATCTGCAAATATATGAATGCATCTGTTTACTTCAAGGGGCTAGGGAATAACTTAGTATGCAAGTGTGGGCTTGATGGTGTGTAAGGGTCTCGTGTGAATGATTTCTTCTTGTGTGATCGATGGGAGAAGGGTTTAAAACTGTTGTTTTAACAGAGGTTTCCTAGGAGCAACTACTGGTCTACTTTTATATACTGCCATCAGGCCCAAGCTAAGAGGAGCTTAGCCATCCCCATAGGATGGCCCCAGACTGAGCACTGGCCAAGACGCTGCTGCAGAGCGACCTTGGCCGGTTTTCCCTTCGCGGGCAGCGGGAGCCGTGCTCGCCAGGCTCAGCACGGAGGGGCTGAGCTCCTTGGCAGGTTGGCGCCCTCCTCCCTGCAGTCGCAGCAAGCTGCTGCTGGGCTGACCCCGCAGCCAGGACTGCTGCTAACTGTTGGCCTTCGTTTCAGAGGCGTCTGCCCCCCGAGTGCCAGCTCCCCTCACTGCTGGAAGCTGAAAAGGCTCAGACGGGGCTCCAGCAGACTCCCTCCGTCTGCCTAAAAAGGAGTACCAATTCAGAGTCCGTGTGAAAATATTTAATGTAAAATAAGATCTTTAGTTTCTAAATACTTCACTATGTTCATAGCAGGTTTAGTAAAGAGCATTTAAAAATGTTCAGCTTTTTTGGCATTGTCCTAGCAATATTTGGATACAATTTCTGTACATTTTATTTTTGATTACAATTTTCCTCATCCCGCCCCCCCCCTCTCCCCCCAGTAGACAGTCTAACAGTGCTGGCTGGTAACAGTAATTACCAATTGTAATGACAGTACCCAACCATGATGTATGGTTTCAGCATGATGCATCCTTGTAATTCAAGGATTTTGCATGCAGAGACAACAGATTGTGAGCTCGCTGCAATATGTGGCAGGGAAGATGCTGCCATGTCTTGTTACTTACTTCTGCCTTTGTGCACAGTGATTTTGTTTACCTAAACTAGAGGGGATGGAAAATGCTAACATTGTTTTTATTTATAGACTGTCCAGTCTATTTTCTGTGAATATATACTTCTGTTGCACACTTGCAGGAAAAAAATCCTGAAGTTTAGACAAAGAACAGCAGTATTTGTTGGGGAAACTGTAAAGAAGGAAAAAAAATATATCAAGAAATTATCTGTATTTATCATGTGGTTTTAAGGATTCCTCGTGTACCAGAAGCCCCTTCCCTCTTGGTTCTGCTTGCCCCGGAGGCCTTCAGCTGCTGAAGCTTTTAAAACAGCCTCTCTTGAAACCAATGAACTTCAAAGGCTATAAAACCAAAAATGAACATCTGCCTGTTTGTTAGGACCTACAGGATGCTACAACTGGATACCACATGAGGAATCCTGCGTTTAACGTGGAAACCTTTCAAATACTGAGGAAGAGGTAAATTTCTCCATCACTCTATCCTTGAAGGTCTTTTTCCCTTGATCTATTGGAGTTGCCCATTTTAAACTCCAAGAGCCTGGACAACCAAGGAAGAGGTAAAAACTTTCCTTAAAAATGTCTACACTGTCATTTTTACATTCACTGTAACCTGCCAAACCAGATATGCTAGCAAATGATTCAGCACTCCATCAAGGATCTAATTCAGATTCTTCAGTGCAAGGAAACCAGTGAGCTTTTCAGTGTTTCTCAGATGTTACAAATTGCTAAACTGTCAGAATGAACAAGTGGGAGGTAGGACGGAAACTGTTGCTATGGGTTAACCAGCACCCCTTTTCTATATATTGACACTGAGGACTGCAAGCTCGGGTTTCTCAGATTATTACAACTGCCACAATATCCTGCTGAGAGGTAATAAGGATAGCAGAGGTCAAGGGTGGAAGCTGCAAAGCTTTAACCAGCTAGATTATAGTTCTAGTAGTAGAGCAAGAGCTAAATTGTAGAGTACCATAATCCAAACAATATATTCCTATATCTAAATTGTGCCTCATGGATTTTGCCTTGAGAAGGAATAGTTGAAAGAAAAGGATTTGGCTTTGCTATACCCATTTGCATTCTATATCAGTTGATTTTGTTGTTTTTTGTACTTGCTTTGTTGATTTTCTTACTTGCAAAAATTTACTGGGGCATATCTTGATTCTCGAGTCACCCGGAATAACATGATGCTGGTAACTGTAAGGGAGAGGTAGTTTTTGAAGTATGAAGGCCCCGAGTGATACCTGCCTTTTCTCATGTTTGTCTGCAGTATCTGGTTTTGTATTATTTTTTCCTCCTGCAAACTTATTTTTCATTAAGCATAACTAATATGGTGGTCGAGATCCTTCAAACAATACTTCAGTAACAAGACATGAGCAGCTTTACAACAATAAACTGGTAAGCTTAATAGAAAGCTCAAGAAAAATGTTATATTAACAGAATGGTCTGGATGCCGATTGGAGAAATCTATCGGTTAGTAATCATAATCACACCTGAGGATTCTGAGCTCTGTAGGTTTTTTATTTTAATGGCATGCTTAATAAAGATTCTTTAAACATGTTCAAATAATCTGCATTGTCCTACCTACGCTTTAATACATTGTCTGTTTGTTTTATTTTTATAAGTTTCTTCCCTTCAAGTAGTAGGCGGTCTGGTAACACTGTGTGACAGCTGCATCACAGAACGGGGTTGCTGGCATTCTCCAATAGGCTTCCAGGCAAGGACGGCTTCTCTTCCTGTTTCATTCTACTTCATTGATAAATAATAGTCTGCCTTGATAAACTGTTCCAATGGATTGCCTTCTCCCAAGAACATGTAATAAGGTAGTTGAACTGTGGATTAATAAATAATGAGGACTACTCCATGAAAGTATAAATGGGTATATAATAGGAACTTTATTCTTATTTTAGACCTATTGGTCTGCATTCTGCTTATTACAGGAAAGCCAAACCAAGTGAAATAGTTGCGCAGCAGAGTAACGTGAACAGAAGTGCAGGTGGATTAGAGGTTCCCAGAGCCTGACTCTTGTATCAATACAATTGTTATCTTCAGTGTTTTAATTTGTTAAATTATATCCACCATCAAGTATACACAGTGAAAAATACAGTGATTGACTGGGATAAAGCCTAATGCCATGACCTCAAGGAGCATGCAGAGAAAGAAAAAAACTAAATATTTTTATAGTAAAATTGCTAGCAGAGGGAGCCTGTATAGTTCCATGAATACAGTGATAAAACTGCCATTGGCCAAAGAAGTATTTAGAAGTGGTTCCTTTAATAATTCTTTGCCATTTTATGGTTCCTCCAGCTGAGACTGCCAAATGCTTTATTGGCCTGAAAGACATTACTATCATCCCCTCCTTGAAATGTGAGAATTATTGTTATCGTTGTGTTCATCCCTATTTCTGTGATTGAGGAAAAGAAAGCTACACAAGTGCCAAAACCGATTATTATTTGTGCCCTGGGAGCTTGGCCCCAAGTGGCATGCAGGAGAGTGAAAAATCCCAGATAATTGTCATTGGTATGTTGTTTTCATAGGGTTGGATTTCAGCTGTTTGTGTGAACCTCGAGTATCGCAGCAGGGAAGGACTCCCTTGAATATGTGATTCGACTACTCCTAATACATACCCATTTAACACTTTCATGTAGTAGTCCTTGTTGTAAATACGTGATTATAATAGTAAATATGTCTTTACAGAGGAGCAAAGCATTTTTAGTTGGTAGCCTTCTCCCGTTCTCAACAGAATAACCAACCTTAGGACTATCGAAAGAGAGGCAAGAAGAGAGCAAGGCTATCTTTTGATTTAGATGCTAGAGCACCTTCCCAACTTGGCACCCTGCAAAGAGCAGTAAGGAGAGTTGCATCCAGAAGAACAAACGTTTCACATGCTCATCTGCGCAGAGGGCACTTTGCAAGTCTCCCCAGGGAATGGGGCTAAGGCCTAACAAACATTAGGGACTGCACTGGCTGCAGCTTAGGGGGACAAATTATAGGCTGTAATCTCTAGGTATTACCAATATTATCTCTGCACTCTTCCTCTATGGGAAGCAGGACTCTGTCCTCCTCATTCATCCATCTGTCCCTCCTTCGCTTACTCTCCGTCACCAGGGTGAGGATGAGGCTGGAGAGCGAGGGCAGTGCTGGAGCTCGGGTAATGAAGGAGTTTCCCACTAGGTGGTGGTGAAGAGAATCGTGTGACACGTACCGGTCAGCACATGCTTTCTTTTTAGCAAGGGGAATCCTACTAGGATCTTACAAGCAGAACAGCCGAGCGCAGCTCTGAGCTGCACTGCCAAACTGAATCTCTGACTTCTGCCGTCCCCTTCTGCTCGTTTCCATGCTACGTGTTCCTCCCAAACCCAAGCAGGGTTGACAACTCTACCTGTCATGTCCCTTCCCAAAAGGTGCAGTCTCCGCATGAAGCTGCTGCGGTTCTTTCCATCGGCCTGCTTGATGAATCAAGACATGGTTAGCTAAAACGTCCTCTAATGACATTTAAGCTCTTCAGAGGTGAGGGCTTTTTGTAGCGAGTGCTTTTGTCTGATTCTCCGCCACCACGCTTGCCTCCCTGTGCTCTGGGAGTTACGCTGCCAAGTAGGGGGGAAAAAAACCAACAACTTATTTTTGTTTGCTGCTTGTGCTGAAATACCTTTGTAAGTCTAGGTAGTGCATCAGTCTACATCAAAGGCACCAGACAGAGCAAGTACTTTGAAAGGACTTTGTAACGTCAAGAGTAAACTGTCACTGAAAGTCAGAGGAAAGCTTTGTACGTCTGAAGAAAGTCTGCACAAGCAGTACACTGAGAAAATTATCTGGGGAATGCGAGCTGTGCCCCACTTTGGAGTATGAGCAGATGCTGGGTCTGCAAGGAAGAATACATTTGTCCTGTGAATTGATCCCACTGCTATCATGTAATGATAGAGCATGCTTGCAAAATTGTCATTTATTAGTCTAGTCACAAGTCTGAGATGCTGAAAAAATTATGCTTTAATTGCTCATCAGCTAAAAATCACTTGTGTCAAATTAATGTGCTAAGAATTTTGCAAGACTAAGAAGCTAACTAAGGCCACAAAGCAGGGACATTGTTGTTTTATAGATACCAACATCAGTTTTACATCCTATTCTCAGGAAAAGAGTCTCAGAAAGGAATCTTTAGTACCAAGACAAGGTTGAAACACTGGTTTATCCTTCCCCCCATTGATTCAAAAGGATAGATAGGTTTCCTCTTGCATTTACTCTGTCACGAGCAGTGAAAAGGATTGCACAAGCATGCACCCTGCAGCCACCGTGGTTGCAGCACAGCAGAGCGTGGATTCCAAATTAATTGTCAGTTTTCTAATTGTCACTAGATGTTTTTGCTGGGGTGTGGGAGGAGAAAGGAAAGGGGCTTCTCCCTCAAATCAGTCCCACCATTAGAGTCAGAGCATTCTTCTTATTTGGAGGCTTGGGGTGAGAGTGCGGGGAGTCTAGAGTTTCCACCCAAACTGATCAGTGTGATTTTGAGCACAACTCACTCCTCTGTCCTTGCCTCCCCCCCCCCCCCCCCCCCCCCTTTCCGTACCTCCTGAGATGGGCACAGGCACTGTGCATAGGGTGTAAGTAAGTTGAGGGGCAAAAAGGTATATGGTTAAATAGAAGCAAATATTTTGCAAGGTAGCCCAGCCTGAGCTCTGTGAGAGGAAGCATTAGCATCAATTACTATATAATCCTTCCAGTACACCTAGTTGCCATGATCCTCCCCAGCAGGGACCCCACTAAGCTAAAGTCATGATGCTTTGAGTATTCCAACTTCACGGTTGATAAACCCAGTTCTCAAGCAGATTTTAGTGGGCAGAGTGCTAATCGTGCTGGGAGCTGTAAGGTCATTCCTGTCCATGTTGCCCAGGGGCTGTGGAAAGCACAGAGGCTTTGGATGCTGAGGTGCAACAACCTCCCAGAGCCAGCGGATCGCTTGCAAGGCCTCAGAAAAGAGCAGCGGGGAGAGAGGACGACTGTCTCTCGGCTCCCGCACAGCTCCCAACACCGTTTTTGATGCACAGAGATATGGGCACACAGAGGGGAGAAGCCTCCAAACAAGTCCGGAGCACCATCTCACTAAAAGCATTGGTTAAATAAAGCACAAGAATCCCAGGCATTCCCTCCTCCTGCCGAGAGATATAACTCAGGGTTTGCACACATAACATCTTCCTTCTGCAGTGCCCCAACGCTTCAGGTGGCTGGAAAACGTTGCAGTTTCCTCTTTATTGGCGGGAAACCATGCAAGCGGAGATGATCACCTGAGATTACACAGAGAAGCAGTAACAGAACTGAGGAGAATTGAGCAGTTCTTGATTTTTAATCCTCTCTCACAACTACAAACCAGCCTCCTGAGGTTTTTCCATTTTAGGAAAACAAACAAGACTGACAAAATTCAGTCTCATATTCTATCCATTAAAAATAGGAATAAGCTAGACTGACCCATTTTAGAGACATCTGAAGTATCTGTAGATGCAGTGAGACTAGTCCAGTGTCCTAATAGATATTTTTTGAAGATGCTAACAAGATTATATTAAGGCACAGCATTTCTACGTAGTTCTTTGTTTTAAAGAAATACCTATTTTTACCAGACCCAGGCATTGTTCTTCTATTTAGGTCAGTTACATCACCTCCAACTGCTAGTTAAAACCAGCTCTTCTCCCTCCCACACTGCAAGGAACAATGGATGAGCGGGCACAGCTGGACTGAAATCAATTGCTCCAAACTCCACAGAACTCCACTCACACGGACTGCTGCAGTGAAGTAACAGGAGGCAAGGATTACTCAAGCAGGCAGGCCTGAGCTGAGACACTAGATCTGCGCTCAGCAGAAACATAATCAGAGAGTCAAGAAGCACTGAAGAAACCCAAAAGGAGAGAAAGACAAGACAGGAAGTCCCCGTTCCTTTGCCTGGGACTCACGTGGATTAACACCGGGCTGGACGTTAACACAAAGTACGCAATTTGTATTTGGTCTGAGCATCTTGAGCATTATTTTCTTTGCTGTGAGGCTCAACCACGTTGAGCTTTCGCTCCAAGTCTTTTACTTCTTTCCTTGTTTGAAAGATGGTAAATTCATAGATCCAACAATTTCCAGCAGTGTGTTGTGGAATGCAAGTTATGTGCTCTAAACCTAACTAGAGTTATCTTACCTGAACATTTATCACCAAATCCTCCTCGGAAAGGAAACCCACCAAAACAACATTTCAGGCCTCGCGCCGAGGAAGTCACGTAGTGCTGCGGGATGGCAGGAAATCGGTGGAAGCGAGACAACAGCGGGAAAAGCAGTTGTCTTCCCAGCTTCAGCAGGCGCACCGAAGCGCGCAGCCTGCGTCCG